GGGGGGGGGGAGATAGAGAGCGAGAGAGAGAGAAAATGGAAGGATTCCTCAAAATTTCTGAAAATTACGATGAGTTTTGGAACCATGCACCATGCAAATACGTAACGAAACTTTTCCCTAGTGTGCTCGCAAAGTGCTTGGACCCGGCACGCAACGCACGCCCTGCCCTCTTGTAGTGGACACACGGGCCTCCCTCAAGGACGCGACAGGCATCCCGTTAAATAGGACATAAACCGGCACCTCCGTTGCGCCACGAGGCCCCGCCCCGCCACGCACGGGGCTCGTCCGAAGGAGGCGTTCGACTAACTTGTAGTTTCAATTTACCGGCGGGGTTGGGTGGGGTGTGGCGGGGCGGGGCGGCCTAGCCGTCAATAGCACCGAGCTGGTCGTCCATCTCTGCACTACGTGACCACCAGTGGTCGCCACTGCGACGGCGCTTGGCCCCTTTCGCACCACTCGAGCATTTCCCTCCAAAGTCTTGCATTATTTATTGACAGAGAGGTCACTATGTGCAACAGTTTATGCGCAAAGGTTACGCACGTGCGCCTGGGTAACCAGTTATTATAATGAAAATGTACAAAATAATTTCAAACCCACAACGCTATAATTCTCAGAACCAAAATTGATAGCCACTCATAACAAATAGTTTTAATTACATGTAAGTGCGGTTACGTCAATTTGCAGGCGTTTCTTGACAGTGCCGGTGCGCCATCCAAGCCAATAAGACACAATCAAAACAGACAGATTCACGAAAACACCGTCACGTTTGTTTACGTTTGACGAAACCGAAAGCAGAGACTCATCACTCGGCAGTCTTCACAAAGTTAATCATTTTATTTCAGTAATTGCCAGGTTTGGGCTGTTTTGACTGAGCGCGGAGGGGGGTGGGGCGAAGGTATTCGGTAGTGACTCACGAAGAGCCCACTCCTGCCACTGCTACTGTTACCGTCCGTGATGTGGCGGGGCGGGGCGGGGCGAGGCGAGGCGGTGCGCTCATACGCGGCCGGCCGGCGTCACGGACAAAGAGAAAGCGGAGCGCCCGGCCGAGAATATCGCTTAGAGCAACGCAGCGCGCCGAGCACTGCAAGCGTTACGTCAGCCCCTGCATCGGCGCTGGCCGGAAATGAGGGATTATTGGCAGTCTTGGCACAAAAATGTATTGTTTTGGAATGTAATGTACGTTTGTGTTTGATTTGGATGTGCACAAAAACATCTATTCTATAGTATACGTACAAAAATTGTCCCTGGCCATTGAGAGTTTAGTTGTTTTTAGTACTGGTTTTTAAAATTTGTTTTTTAAAGTTGTTTTGTCAAGTTTTTGCTTTCATAAGTTTATTTTTTTAAGGTTTTGTTTAGTAAAGTTGTTTCGTAATTTATTTATTTTTTTGTAAAGCTTTTGTTTTATGAAGTTGTGTTTTAAAGTTTTTGTTTTTGTAAGTTGTTCTTAAAGTTTTTAATTTTGAGGGTTTTCTTTCAAGTCGTTTCTTGACCGCTGCTCATTGCTGGTGCCTTCCCAGTCGTGCCGAGCGCAGGTGCTGTCCAGCAGGCCACCGGTCGCCCACCCGCAGGGCCCCACCACCCACGCCACCGCCTGCGCCCGGCGGTCGGCGCGGCGATTTGTCAAAGTGTCAAAACTATCCCCTGCAGGCGCGGTGGCGCGGCGTTGTTGTCGAACCATGTAGTTACACCTGCATATCCCTTCCCCAATGCACTGTCAGAATTTTGTTAATTTCTGATGTTTTCTTTACAGGATGGCAAATGCTAACCCGCGCATATATACATTTTTTTGGCGGAAGTCATATCGGTCAAACATGTTCTTTGTTTTGATAACAAAAATAACACGTCAAGAAAGTAAGATAGAAGCCAAATATTAAAAAAATAATAAAAAGCGCAGTCATTTAGTTTGGTTTTCTATCGGCGCTCTGCACCCTGCACACAATAACAAGGTAGACGCACGTTAAAACCGTGTGAAGCTGAGCTAAATGTGCGTCTACCTTGGCCTGCGGCGCGCTAAAATTAAAATGTTTTCGCGATTTTGGTTGGCATGCCTGTCCACCTCACATCCACTGTTAAAAATTTCTTGGGATTTCCCGAAGATTCACTTTCCACCACAATTAGAAATTCCCAGAGGACTCCGTTCTTAGTTTTGGTGTACTAAAACAGATGTTCAAGGTAGAAGTTTTCGTTTGACAATATGTTTCAAAGCCAAACTCGACACGTGAAATCTATAGAGTTCTTTGGGAAATCCCAAAGGACTTTGGCAATACTTTTCACGAGTGTTCCTCCGTGAAATCCCAGGATTTTTTCTAACAGTGTCCCACGTCTCACGCCAGGCGCCTCACTTCACGCCGTCTTCCGGGCGGTCTCCCCTTGCGCTTCCTGACAGAGCTGAGCATTTAAAGTTAAAGTTTAATTTCAAGTTCAAGTGAAGCTCAGCAATAAAAATCCCCACAAGTGCACCAAGTCGTGCCCCTCGGCGTGCCCTCCCCTTGACCTGCCACCAATAACTTGAGGCAGACATAACTGACCAGCCGCACTATAATCCCTCTCAATGCCTCTCCGCGGTCTGCCCGCCGCCTCTCCAGCATCCCAGCTCCATACCGCCTCTCACAGATTCGCACCGTAAAATCCCTCAAACGGCGCCGCTCGCTGGCGCCGCCCGAGCTGAGGCAACCTTTCGAAACGATCGTGCGTATCGCGCACTACTTGGCTATGAGCGAGCGAGCTCTCTCCACCCGCAGCCGCCGTCCTCAGCCTCAGCGAGGGGTGCGTTGAGTAACGATATGCATCCGCATGCATCATTACTTTAACTTCAAAAAATAATTTTTAAAAACGCCTTGCAGTTTTTTTGTGGGTTTTTTTCGACACTTTTCAACAAATAAATTCAGTGGCGGTTGATCGAGTTGACACCGATTGTTGAGACCCCTGTGCAAACTGTCACCCACCACACCGCTCTGCATCATCCTCTGCGTCCCACCACGCCCAGCAAACTGTGGGGAAGGGAATTCCCCTGGCCGTTGCCGGCTCATGATGACACCACCGCTGAAGCGGACAAAAGAGGGGGGGGAGGCTACACAAAGCTCGTCCATTTTACGAGGTGTGGGTTACTTTTCATTATGGCGCGCCCCATTATTTAAGGTAATCCATCATTTATTAAAGGTTAATAAAAATAAATAAAAAAACCACCAATAAGAAAAAAATATCGCGAGAGGATACGTTTCACTTGCAATTATTTGACAAAGGGACTAAGGGACGTCCCGGTCCGAAACATCCATGAGCCGTCCTATGATCCGTGTGGCGTCATGGGGTATGAGGATGGGAGGCAGTACTTCTTGAGGTGCCAGTGCCATTTCACATTGGTTTACATTTTTAATAAATTGGCCGCTTTCCCATGAGTGGGATGCTTCCTCGTTGAGAGCACTGCCCCATGATGACCCAATTATAGTAGTAACGCGGAGAAAATGTTTAAAGACCAATCAAAGTGTGATTCGGGTATCCGAATAGAGGCAGACCCAAATCTGCTGTCCAATCTCACTCAAGCCGTTTCCGCATTGCAATTAATATAATGCTCTTACTTAAGTCCCTTTGACCGATACCCTGGGCCAACAAATGCGTCTTTTTTTCGGGGAGAGGGGGTTACAAACTGTATTTTTCTGTACGTAATTTGTGAACGAACCCCTGCAGGCAGAGGCTTGCGACATGCCGCGCCACCGGTGGATCCGGGCAGTTAGTTTGTGTCAAGGTAGCAGAGCAGGCAGAGCAGCAGACGACGCGGACGGCGGCAGTTGGGCGAGGAGGGGGAGGGTCAGCCAGGCGTCAGCCAGGCACACCGCGCGCCGCGTGCGACCTTTAAGTCCGGCGCGCTGGACGACGCCGTGCTCACTCACTCCCGACCAACACCGCGATGCAGCAGAGAGGTGCTGCGGGTAAAGTGCATCGGAGGGGCTCCATGCGATTAGGATGGGGCAGGTAGTCCCGTATGCTTTTCTACCAAAAACAAACTGTTTTCGCAGCGCAAAGATATATTTAAAAATGTTTTTGTTTT